TGTTGGTGAACTGGGAAGAATTGAAAGCTTATTTCACATGTGCTGAATTAGCACAGACAACGTTTGACACAAAATATAAAGTAAGATTGTTAAAGGAAATGCTGTTATACCATGATAATTATTTGTATTTTGTGTTTGTGACACCAATTGTACAAGAATTTGAGAGACTGAGCAGTCTTTTTCAACAAACAAAAGCTGACCCTTATGAACTACACCAAGAATTGTCCATGCACCAGAAAAGTCTTAAGAACAGACTGTATCAGACTGTATGACGCCAGTGAGCAGAAAAAAAATATTCATCACGTTGACTTTGGTATTAAATTCCTAACGGAATGTAATGCGTTCTTACATAAGATTAACGGGACTGAAGCTCAGATAGAAATAAACAATGTTAAAGAAAGATGCATGTCTGTGCTAGAGGAAGCTCTCAATCTTCTTCTTCTTCATCTTCGCGTTCACCAGCTGTAAACTCTGGCAGGAGGTTCTGGTTGCTCGTCCACTACTGAACTGCAGTCCTGCTCCAGAACCTGAGTGTTGCGTGTGCATCAGTTTTACAGATCACATTCTCTTGAATACAGACTGCTGGTTCCTTGCCTCTCTGGCAGATGCACTCCGACTTCAAAGGAAGATCCCCAATTAGTCGACTCTTACGACATGCTTTTGGGGAGGCAGAGAGTCTATTCTTGTTTTCCCCACAATAGGGCCCCGGAACGGGGAGCTCTCAATCAAATTACGTCGAATATCAAGGACACAGTTTTCAGAACTACAATTTTTACACCTGGCAGAAAACAACATCAGTAGGCCTATTGTAGAAGAACATTACGGAAAACTGATTGTTGTCAAAAGAAGAAGCTACATTTAAGAAGGATGTACTACCTACAAAAATTAGTAAAATTAGTAACCATGGAAATGAGATGTCTGAGAAGGGCTGTAGGAGTGACCATAAGAGATAAGATCAGGAATGAGATCATAATAGTAAAAGTCGGCACAGAACCAATTCTAAATTGCATACGAAGACAACAAGTGAAATGGTTTGCCCACTTAGACAGAATGCCTTGTGACACCATACCATACAAAGCATACATGGAAAGGGAAGAAGGACGTAGAGCACGAGGTAGACCAAGAACAAGATGGAAGGATAACATCAGAGAAACTCTTCAACAGCAAGATGTGCCTTTAGTCGAGGCGGCCAGAAGAGCTAGAAACAGAACCTTATATCTCCCTCGACAACCACAGCGGTAAAAGAGGAAGTGAAGAAGAAGAAGAAGGACTACCTACAAACAGGGAGGATTTTTGGATTGGCGTACTTCGACACCAGGCGTTTGAAGAGTTGCCACTTTCGCCCTTAGTTGCTTAATAATGCCCGTTAGCAACGCTGTAGTTGAGAGAATATTTTATCTTGTTACTTCAACTGAATCAAAAGCAAGAAACAAAATACAACTGGATTTTCTTGATGCAGTTGTCAGAATGAGAGCAGAACTATTGATATCTAAGAAATGTTGCAAAGACTTCATTCTATCTGAGAAAATGCTTAAAAGATTTTACATCCGAAAAGGTTTATCGGTGCATCTTCCACTAGTTCCAGTGAGGATGACAGTGAAGAATTCAATCTAGAGCTTTTGATGTGAAGTGAGTACAATGTTATATTTTATTTGGTAATTTTCTGGCATATTTTGGGTGATGGTTTGGCATAAAATGACGTTTTTTAACTGGCAACCCTGCATTCTTCTAACAGTTGTCGATACGCAGAAACATCGAGCAGAGATTTGGCTCTTGAGAACTACAGGGAGGGATTAAACAGTACATCACAAGAACGGGTTGGTATGTGAGGTGTTAATACATCGTGAATCAGACTAATGATTTTCTACATCACTTTAAATATCTGCAAAGATAGACTACACAAGATACACTTAAAAATATATTGAACTTGACATTTTTTTTATCGGCGATCGGGTCACTCACTGGCTCGCCGGTAGATGACTTCGTTGTCGGTCGGGACAGTATTTGGGTCTGTTTCATTTGATCGCACTAAAACATGGCTTTTGGTGGCGAGCAGTATGTAGCCATTATATGGCGCACATGACGTAGTCACAGTTATAACCTAAAACTACCCTTTCAGGGATGCTGGTTGATTGTGACGATTTTTCCCCAGTAAAGCAAAACCACAACCAAATTTGACAATCTATACTCCTTCTTTCTTCTTCTGCCTTTTTATCCCCCATGGAGCATAGGCTCTCAACCAACCCACGCCAAGTCGTTCTATCCTACGCTGTTGCATGGAGCTGTCCCAACTCCCTCTCCATCTTTCTAACTTCATTCTCCAGCTCTCTTCTCCATATACCCCTGTGGGTTCCAATGCAAAGACATTCTAGTTATGCTGTTCTCCAGTTTTCTCAGTGTGTGTCCTATCCAACGCCAGCATCTTTTCCTCACCTCTTGGTCCACTGGAGCTTGCTTAGTTCTCGCCCAAAGCTCCACATTAGTGATTCTATCATACAATTTAATTCCCTCTGTTCTGTGCAGGCACCAGTTAATGAATGTAATTTATTAGTAATTGCCTTAGAAGTTCTCCATGTTTCCACTCCATACAAAAGTACTGATTTGACATTAGAATTAAAAATTTTAAGTTTAGCATTAGTTTTATTTTCTATTGACCTCCACAGATTTCCTAGTGCTATGAAAGCTCTGCTGGCCTTTTGTGTTCGTATTTTAATACCTGTATCAGTTCCCCCATCTTTACCTACATTACTGCCCAAATAGGTACACCACTTCACCTCTTGGAGTGGGGTGCCATTAAGAGAAACCACACTACAATTGCCTGATTTATTCTCATTATCTCTGTCTTTCCTTTATGGATTTTCAGACCAAGCTGCTGTGATCTCGCATCAAGTATATTTAATTTATCTTGCATCTGATTCCGTGAATGGGACAGAAGAGAAAAATCATCAGCGAAGTCCGGATCCTCAAGCTGTTTTGAATGGATCCACTGAATTCCATTCTTGGTGTTAGCAGTTACTGTCCTTATAATCCAGTCTATAGCCAGTTAAAATAGGATGGGTGACAAAAAACATCCCTGTCGCACACCTGTTTTTATTTCAAATGTATCTATTAGCTTTCCCTCATGAAGGATTTGACATTTCATATCTTTATATGTTGCCTTTACTAAGTTAATAATTTCCTTTGGATTCCATAGTGCCCCATCAATTTCCGGAGAGATTCCCTATCAGTGCTGTCAAATGCTTTTTCATAATCTATACTCCTACAGTTTGGTTGATTTCAGTTAATAAGTACATAAGCTATGCAATATTGAATAACCAAACATAACTGATACTGATAAGCATAAATATCCATCACTGAGATAGAAAAAAAAAACAAGATATATTCCATTAATAGTCCGGATGGTTGAACAGACATTGTTCTTTAAAATACTTTTACTGTTTAGCATATGCTGGTAGTCTTGTTACTTATTGAGTCATGAATGTGAACAAGTGAAATATATTGACTGCTATAGTGCAGTTTAAGCCAGTGTGCATGCTTTTATTATAAATAAATAGTTTTAAGATTTCCTTTTTCAGACAAATTCTTTGTTTAATTTTTGCAATTATTAATTAACCAGAGATATTAGTAGACAGATAGAGGAGAAGTCTGAGAGAAAAGAAACTACAGATTGTTAAAGAGTAGCAAGTTTTTATGTGGACTATAAGGTAGAGGCTGACACTCCCGCATTGGACTTTACAGTCATAGCAGAGGGTTTTCCCAAAACCAGCGGTACAACTCTGTATTTGCCAGGTGCTGAAACTTGGCTACTACTACTAGTAGACATCAAAAGAAAATACCAAATACAAGAAAAACTGTATCAGAGTTATAACCCTGAATGGTTTAATGGGATAATGATAATTAAATTGTCACTACATGCAGAAGATCCTTGATTTTGTAGATGATATAGCACTCCTATCACATAAACATGAACATATACAAGAAAACATTTCCAGACTACACAGCACAGCAGAAATGGTGGGACTGAGAATAAATACAAGGAAAACTAAGCTCATGTCAAACAGTCCAAACCAACAACCAGTGACCATTAATAACCAAACACTTGAAAAATGTAGAATAGTTTATGTATCTTGGCAGTGTGATATCCCTACTGGGAGGACAGAAAAAGACATAATAAAAGAGCAGATTTTGGAAGGATAAGGCAGACCTTGAAATCCAACAATTACTCTACAAGAGCCTCATTTTACCAGTTCTTCTTTACGGAGCAGAACGCTGAAGAATGACCAAAAAGGATCACACAAGCTGTCCATCTTCCACTGCACATGTCTACATAGAATTATTAAAATTTTCTGACCAGATACAATCTCAAACACTAAACTACTTCAAGTCACAAACCAAGAAACTCTAGACAGTATGATAACCAAGAGAAGATAGAAACGGCTTGGTAACATTATGAGAATGAATCCTATATACCTGCCAAAAAATCTCTCACTTAGACACCAGAGAAAAAGAGAAAGAAGCGGCCCCCCCCCCCCCAAAAAAAAAAAAACATGCAGACAAACGGTGGAAAGTAGAACAACCCTAGCTTTTTTTGGCTGATGTGGTTTTCTAGACAGATTTTACATTCAGTAGTTTGCCATTGCTTACTCAATGGTCGGCTGTCAATACCACTGTCAGAACCAACGCAAGGTGAAAAATTGCCTGCAGCTGGGATCGAACCTGACACCCTGGCATTACAAAGCGCGCTCAGCGCCTGAAATGGTACAGTATAATATTCTGGAAAAGTACAGATGACAGGCCTGATACCAACCACATCACCTATTGAGTGCTGATTTTTATATAGAAATGTGTAACTAGCATCACATACTGAATGTGCCCCAACACAGAGAGAAGGATTCTTTACCATTCTTGCTGTGTATGAAGCATATCAGAATTTGTGCTTTTTAGGAAGCCAGTTCATTCAGTAAGGATGTGTTTTTTCTTTTTTTTTTCATTACAGAGAAATGGATGATGGCAGTTTGTACTATGCAGTCATTGAGAACGATTTTGCCAGACTCACCGAGCTGCTTCAACAAGGGGGAAATGTTGATGAATTTTATGAAGATACCATGAACATTAGCTCTAAATCTTTGCTGCATGTCTGCTGTGGGAAAGGGCATGTGGAGTGTTTGAAGTAAGATGGCTAAGAATATACTTGAAACTTTGGATAGATAACAGTCACTCTGCATGATGGCTGCATGGACAGTTGTTTGTATAAAGCTGTGCTTTTGAATTTGTGTGTGAAAAGTATGCAGACTTTCTCAAAACATAATGTCTTAGACTTTGTTTAACTTACTTATGTTTTTGTGACTACAACATGTGCTTGCCACTCCTGCAGTTCACCAGGAAAAGATATCAAACCAGATGACAAGTAGAACCAGTCAGCTTCAGAAATGCAGAGTATGGTTAAGACATTAACATTCAAAAAAACAAAAACTATGGTAATTAACAATAGAAAATAGCGGCCAACAGTGAACATCACAGTAAATGAAGAGCTGTTAGGACAAGTAACACGTTTCTTCTATCGAGGACACGTAGTAGCAGATGATGGAAGTAGCCAAACAGAAATAAAAAAGTTTTTAAGGAATGGCTAAAATGGTCCACAATAAGATGTGCAAGTTACTGACAGCTAGAGAGATAAACAACACACTAAAAATGAAAATCAACAAATGTTATGCATACTCAGCCCTGCTATATGGTGCAGAAACTTAGATAGTGATAAGATAGAAAGTGCAATTTCACCAGCAGCTCACCAGGAAGGTTTTCCAAATCTGTGTTAAAAAAGACACTCATCCTTGCTAGCCAGTTAGCTAAATTAGTTTCCATTTTACTTCTGAATGAAAACATCTGTCTCAGTATGAGTGAAAACAATCATGACGATCCTTTAAGTTGTACCTCATTCATTTTGAAAAATATTTGTAAATATTACGTATGTGTTAAAAAGTGTGTAAGAGAAAGAAAAAGACTCAAATCACTGAATTCAAATATTTGGAGAAAGCTTTTAACATCAGATGGAATGTGCATTACAGAGATTAAGAACAGAATAGGTCAAGAAAAAGAAACAACTCAAATTCTGATGCTGAAAAGTGTCTTGTAATAAGTCACTGTAAATGAATGTCAGAATGTGGCTATGTTGAATCGAAGATGTTCTATGGCAGTAAATATTGGAATGAAGTAAACAATGTTGGAAGAGATTGAAGGCAATCTTTTTAGAGTTGAATGCTAAAAATACAGCCAGAGTAACTACCAGTATTTGCCGGGGAAAAGCAGACTAAAATAGAACAATAAATACAACCATAAGAAAGACACAGAGTGTGTTATTTGGTCATGTGATGGATGAGAATGCATTGGAGAACATCATGACTGGAAAGGTAACCAGCAGCAGGGGCAGGGATATGCCCAGAGAAATGATGCTAGATGGTGTAGGGCATGGGACAAAAGTATCAGTTGAATTAATAACACAAAGGACCAATATGTACAGAGACATGAACGCCTACAGCTGCCAACAAAGCGCACAACAGAGATGATGAGGAAACTCATGAATATAAGAGATCTAAGTATAGTAAATAATTTTTAGTGATCATTAGTTAGGTGGTTCGGACACCTAACAAGAATGCCCTGATACTATCTGCCACAGCGAGCCACACTAAAACGTTACAACGGGTATAGAGCGAGTGGAAGACCTAAGAAAATATGGAGTGATGGCATTAAGAACAGCCTTTAATGAAATGAACATCAGTCTTAATAGTACTCCTCTTGACAGAGCTCGTCAACGAATGTTACATCCCCCCTCCTCCCCCTGACACTTTGCTGAGGTACAAGGTGGAAGAGAAGAAAAAGAAGAAGTGATCATAGAATTATATTTTACAGGTTTACTGCTATAGTGGATCAGCCATGTAACATACACTTATTGATTATTCAGTAATGCTTTGCATGTCAAGGGGCATTACAAATCTTCCTTTTTAATACAATTCATGATAACCATGTCATTTGTTGAGTCAAACATTGCAAATGTTTACAGTTCCTATATTTGTTTAACATTATCATTCCCAGTGCTGATCTTGGTTTGAAGAGATAGATCAAGCAAGCACCAAGGTCATCAAATGTTGCATGTTAGTGCTTGTAAGTACTAATTCTACTAATATTATCGCTATTAACCTTTTCTGCATGATATGTAGGCTTTACCATCCATTACATACCTTTTTGAAGCCTAAATATCAGTTTTGTTGCATTAGCCACTCACCATCAACATCACCCATCAGACCGTGTTAGTAACATAACGGACAGGTCAAAAGTTAGGAGATGGACATAACCAAATATTTGACACAAACAGACTATATTACAGACAATATTGACACACTAATGACTCTAAAGGACATACAAGATAATTGTAACAATAGTGGCACAGTCTGTGTGAGGAACATTTTAGTTAGCATGGAAAAAAATGGATGTAGATGCAGACATGTGAATGAATGTGGAAGTTTATATGCCCCTACGAGTGAATGAAAATGTTTATATGAATGTAAGTGTTAGAATGATTACACTGATAGGCAGGTATGAAAAAGAACGCAAGTGTAAGAAATGTCAAATAGGTATGTATCAATATGGTTATGCATGGATATGTGTGAAAGGTAGTGCAAACATGAAATGTTGTTTGAGTGTATGGATGCTCGCGTTTATGTATGCATACACTTGATAGTGTGCATCCATATACCCCTGGGATTCATACTTATAATTAGGGCTGTACCGAATAGTGATTTTCACTATTCGGCCAAATACGAATAGTGGGACCAACTATTCGGCCGAATACGAATAGTGTATCATCATCAGGTGCCTTGCCGACTGACGTGCGCGGTTATGCCTCGCCACAATCTACGATCTCCTGCAGCATGCATCAGATCGTGTGCCGACACACCTCCATGCCATGCAACAAGACTGTCAAGAATCTTTTCTCGTTGTCTTCCTCTATCTCTCCTTCCACAGATCTTTCTAGTGGTCACCACATGTTCCATTTTCCCTCTTCTCATAACATGGCTGAAAAATTATGACTGTCTCCTTCTGATGTCTGTGATTAGTTGTCTTCGGGCTCCCGCCTCTTTCAAGACCTATTGGTTGCTTTTTTGTGGGTGGGGGGGGGGGGGCTATTCAAGGTATTTTAAGCATTGTTCTGTAAAACTACATCTCTGCCTACCGATTGTCCAGGACTTACAACCATATTTTAAAACTGGAAGAATAGGAGAAAAATAGTAGCAAGCAAGAATTATTTTTCTAACCTTCAATAGCAAAGACATATCACATACAATGTTCTTCATTTTATAAAATGCAGTTTTTGCCTGTCGCCTGTGCTCTTTTCGACAGTGGCAAGGAAAGTATCTCAAGTATCTTTGTCTTCTTTAATAATGTCATAATTTATAGCTGACTTTTCTTTATTTTCACTCCGGCACCCCTGGCATACGCACCCAATTTGAGAACCTTTGCTGTAAAGCCTCGGTCGAGGCAATACCTTGCCTGCTTCTGTACCACACAACCTGGTCGCAGTTTTCCCCGCTACTACAAACTTAGGCAACAGCAACTACTGTGTTAATGAGAGAGTTATTTCAGTCCATTGCAGTGTACGCAGAAATGAATGAAAGGTAACCACTATTCGTATTCGGCCTGACCGCAACTATTCAGCCGAATACCGATAGTCATTCGGTCCACTATTCGGCCCTGAAGCGAATACGAAGCGAATATTCGGTGCAGCCCTACTTATAATCATCATATTCCACATCATGCATATAACTTAAACATGACTGGTGGGACTCACAATCGGATAAGACTGACAGCAAATAGGGAAGACAAATGGATCGATACTGACAGGACCAGAGCACCTATCCTCCAATTCCACCCCCCACCCCTCCAATGGTAAGATGGTAAAGACTGGTGATGTTATGCATATTCCAGAGATCTATTATTTACGTACACCGGAGCCTAGCTATCAACCAAAAACCGACACAGTCGGACCACACTGTAACAAATGATGAATAGGATCATTGTGAGGCTCCACCTAACATTTCACACACATCTCCATGACATGGTTTACCCGTTCTTATTGCAGGAAGACAACTGAAAGACCACTATGCTCACACGCTGAATTTTTTTTATATTTCGGATCTATCCAAACCCAAAAACTGTCTTCAGTACTTAATCTTGAGTTGTTCATAACAGCTTTGAATGTTTGTTATTTACCGTTAGCTTATTTATTAGAAATATTTTAAACCAATGTTACTATATATTAAAATAATTGGAGTTGAAATCTGTTTAATCCCATTGTTGGATAAGATGAGTGATAAACTTGACTAGCAGAAGAATGTACAGATCAAAAGTAGAATGTCTTGAATTCACAAAGAGAATGAATTAGTTATGGGCATCAGAGGAAGAGAGACCTAATTTTTTGGGAATGTCATGAGAAGAGGAAGACTGATGCATAATATGACAACAGAAACATTGCTAGGGAGGAGAGGCAAGGGGTGGCCAAGAGAGCGTATGTTTTACTTTTGGCATCATGACATGAAAAAATATCTCTATCAGAAATTATTGGCACCACTCAAGAAGTGGTGTAAACAGACATGATGATGAAAGGCACATGGCAATGGACTGTAAGAAGATAAAGCGGCAAAACCTTTTTTAAATTGTCAAACAATTAGATATATTTGTTATTTCAGTTTTTTTGGGGGGGGGAGGGGGGGGGGAATATGTTGTTTAAATCTTGTATACCCATAGATGCGATTGATTAAATTGTCTAGTGCAGTTGTCGGCAAATCGCAGCTCAAGAGCCGCAAGCAGCTCTTTGGCGACCTGAATATGGCTCGTCCAGTCGGCCACAAATCGGTTTTGACTCTAAAAAACATGGTTCTTGAAAGGAAAGAAATTTGGCTCTCAAAAATATTTGTGTGTTCCCGCTGCTGATTTTTGACTCTTTTGACTAAAGAGTTTGCCAACTGCTGGTCTAGTATGTCATGTAATTTCTGCTATTCCCCCTTGCCTTCTATGATTGCCAGTTGTGCTTGTCAGTTTAATATTAGTAGTCAGTAAATTAATTCATATTGCTACGAGTCGGGAGCTGCTGTGGTGTAGTGGCTAGATGCCTACCTGCTTATCAGAATGTCGTCAGTTTGGGTCCTGAGGGAGCTGGACTTTTTTTTTTATAAATAACTTTGAGAGGGTACTAGGTACAGTCCTGGGATGGGAAGAAAAGAGGGATGGCATAATGCTGACCACATCACCCACCCAGTGCCAGTGGGTCTATAAAACATAAGTGATGTCCTATGTGCCCAATATGCCTGAAGGTGTGGAAAAGGGTCCTTTACTTTGTTTTCACTTACTATAGGTCTATGACATATATATGAGTCATGCGCACTCGCAAAGATTTTTGAGGCAGAATGGTGTGGTTTTTTTCTTAGAATCCCTTGGAAAGCTAAATAGACCAGAATCCAAGTTTCACAATAGCAGTTACAAACCCCAGTTGCTAACCTCATCCGAGCAATCAGGCATTGAAGGGAGGGGGGGGGGGTGTCTTTTGAGAGAAGGGTGTCTTTAGAAAGTTGTAAACCAGAAAGATGAGGATTTTAGAGAGGTTATCACATGGAGAAAATGCTGAATGGTTTGGTGGAGTAGCATGGAAGGTTTCAAAAATTGAACTTGTCAGCAGCACAAGGGACATATGTATGTTGAGGAATATTAATGCCTGTATCTACCAGCATGGCACATAATAATAAGTAAATGTGTATTGTTATCTGTAATACTGTTTCTAATGGAACATGTAGCAATCGATGTAGTAAAATGCATGTGCCTAGGAGAAATCTTATACATCTTGTTTCCTAGGATTAATTTGTTCATGTAGCGAGTATAAATTTTTGTATCATATGTTGTATCATAGTTTTTCTGTTGTTTGATGAGAATTCTGTAACATCATTTTGGCTCTTGATATCTTAGTGTTAATGATTGAATGGAGTAATCTGTATATATTTTTTCATGGAAACAGAGTATTGATTGAGCATGGAGCACAGCTTGATGTGAGAGACAAATGGGGCCAGACACCACTCATGTACAGTGTAACCATACAGTTTCCAGAGGTGGCTAAGGTAATTTGTTATACTTTAATGAGGCACCTGGGTGTAACCAGAGGGTCTGGCCGGCTGACTACACTCAGAGAAAAGGCAAAACTGACATTTAACCAGATTGTGACCGGTACCATCAGTATTCGAACTCTGGGCTGGCTGCTGAAGATGAGGGCGAAGCATGCATGGGAATGCCCCGAGTGCTGTGATGTCAATTCTGGACTTTATGTTTCCTGTGCGGATTCTGGGGCCCTATTCTTTGGGTGTGGGTGGGGGTAATAGATTCACTGCCGCCCTAACACGCATGTTGTATAAGGCTACTAATTTTGTGTGTGTTTTTTTAACTCGGAATGCATCTGCATGAGAAACCAACAGTCCGCACAGAAATAAGCCAGATCTGTAAACTGGATTTGCATGCAAAACTTAACTTCTGGAACAAGACCAAAGTCTAGAAGTGGATGAACAGCCAGATCTTACAAGGTCCGACAATTAAGTAATGAGACTGATTTTATTATAGCCAAGAAAAAATGCCATTAGTGAAGCAAAGCATGAAATCTAAAGAGACAGCATTTGTCTATGATCTGGCTACTTTTCATCGCCGCTCGATAAGTAGACCACAAATAAGCCACCATTTTGTTGACCTAGTTGGTTGTACATTGTTATGTAATCAGCACGGAGCAAAATGCTAACATTAAATTCTTTTTAAAACTCATAAAAAGCGCAATTGAAACAGTTGAATTGATGCAACAAGTTTATCTGGATAATTGTTCATCTTGTGCACATATTTTCAGGTGGTATTCACAATTCAAAAGTTGTGTGGAAATGATTACTAATGCACCTAGACCTGGACGCCCAATTTCTGTTCGCAATTATGAACTCATTGCAAAAGTCAGAGAAAGAATACAAGAAGATCATTGTTTTACTATGAGGATGATGGCAGATGAATCTGGTGTTAATAGAGAGACCATTCATAACATTTTAGTGCAAGATTTTGGCAAGAAAAAGTTGCTTGCTGGTTTGTACGACATTCGTTGTCTGATGACCAAAAACATCAGCGGGTTGAGTACCCAAGAGACATCATCAAAACAAGAATTTTTTGCCACAAAACAGATTTATCTCCCTGTGATTATTTAAAATTTTAAAAATTAAAGTTACGATTAAAAGGACGCTTCTTTAATGATATTGATGACATCCAAAGGGCCGTAACATTGACTTTAAGGTCCATAACAACAGAAGAACTACAGAGGTCGTTCCAGTATTTGTTAGATCGTGTCACTTGCTGTATCAATGCACAAGGGGCTTACTTTGAATCAGATACAGGTTTTATCTCCAACTATTGATTATTTTAATTTTTAGGGAATCAGTCTTATTGCTTAATTGTCTGACCTTGTATTACTGGAATTTACAACTAGTGAATGTTAAGAAGTAGACTTTCCGCTGAGGTGGGAAAGAAAAGGCAGAAGGTAGAATTCTGACTGCTTCACCCCATAAAGCTGTCACCTGTTATTCTGTCCTAAACCTCCCAAAAATAACCCATTAGCCCCAACGTCTTGTTCCTTCATTATATTATATTTGTTATTGAATTGGCGTTATTATTTATATACTCGTCCAAGGCTTATGCTTTAAAAAAAATTTTTTTTTTGGAAGGTTCTGTTAGATGCTGATGCTGACTTGGTCAGTTGTCAAGACCGCTATGGCAAAGCTCCTCTTCACTGTGCTGTTGAAGCGGGGAGTGATGAGCTGGTACAGCTGCTGCTGCAGTATGGAGCTGATATCAACATCAGGTGCCATGATGGAATGACCCCTCTTATGATGTGCTGTACAGCAGATACCGATGGCAAGAAGGTCGGAGTGATGAAAGTGTTGTTGGAGGCTGGAGCCTTGATTGATTTAAAAGACTTTCGGGGGAAAAGGACAGCTTTGCATGTAAGCCAGTACAGTACATTCATTCATAGTGTGTAGTCAGCAAGGATGATTGATAAACTCTAAATATTGAGTAAAAAAAAAGTAAAAGTATTTTCACTGGCTGCTGTGTATGCTTTGAAGATTGACTGGTGAAGCGAACCTGGGAGTGAGATTGACTGGTGAAGTGAACCTGAGAATGAGATTGACTGGTGGAGGGAACCTGAGAGTGAGATTGCCTGGTGAAGCAAACCTGGGAGTGAGATTGACTGGTGAAGTGAACCTGAGAATGAGATTGACTGGTGGAGGGAACCTGAGAGTGAGACTGACTGGTGGAGGGAACATGAGAATGAGATTGACTGGTGGAAGGAACCTGAGAGTGAGACTGACTGGTGAAGGGAACCTGAGAATGAGACTAACTGGTGAAGGGAACCTGAGAATGAGATTGACTGGTGGAGGGAACCTGAGAGTGAGACTGACTAGTGGAGGGAACATGAGAATGAGATTGATTGGTGGAGGGAACCTGGGAGTGAGATTGACTAGTGAAGGGAACATGGGATTGAGATTGACTGGTGAAGGGAGCCTGAGAATGAGATTGACTGGTGGAGGGAGCCTGAGAATGAGACTGACTGGTGGAGGGAACCTGAGAATGAGATTGACTGGTCGAGGGAACCTGAGAATGAGATTGATTGGTGGAGGGAACCTGGGAGTGAGATTGACTAGTGAAGGAAACCTGGGATTGAGATTGACTGGTGAAGGGAGCTGAGAATGAGATTGACTGGTGGAGGGAGCCTGAGAATGAGATTGACTGGTGGAGGGAGCCTGAGAATGAGACTGACTGGTGGAGGGAACCTGAGAATGAGATTGACTGGTCGAGGGAACCTGAGAATGAGATTGATTGGTGGAGGGAACCTGGGAGTGAGATTGACTAGTGAAGGAAACCTGGGATTGAGATTGACTGGTGAAGGGAGCTGAGAATGAGATTGACTGGTGGAGGGAGCCTGAGAATGAGACTGACTGGTGGAGGGAACCTGAGAATGAGATTGACTGGTCGAGGGAACCTGAGAGTGAGATTGACTGGTGGAGGGAACCTGAGAGAGACTGACTGGTGAAGGGAACCTGGGAGTGAGATTGACTGGTCGAGGGAACCTGAGAGGGAGATTGACTGGTAAAGGGAACCTGGGAGTGAGATTGACTGGTGAAGGAAACCTGAGAATGAGATTGACTCTTGAAGGGAACCTGAGAGTGAGATTGACTGGTGGAGGGAACCTGGGAGTGAGATTGACTGGTGAAGGTAACCTGGGAGTGAGATTGACTGGTGAAGAGAACCTGAGAGTTAGATTGACTGGTGAAGGGAACCTACGAGTGAGATTGACCGGTGAAGGTACCCGGAGAGTGAGATTGACTGGTGAAGGGAACTGGAGAGTGAGATTGACTGGTGAAAAGAACCTGAGAGTGAGATTGACTGGTGAAGGGAACCTGAGAGTGAGATTGACTGGTGAAGGGAACTGGAGAGTGAGATTGACTGGTGAAGCAAACCTGGGAGTTAGATTGACTGGTGAAGGGAACCTACGAGTGAGATTGACCGGTGAAGGTACCCGGAGAGTGAGATTGACTGGTGAAGGGAACTGGAGAGTGAGATTGACTGGTGAAAAGAACCTGAGAGTGAGATTGACTGGTGAAGGGAACCTGAGAGTGAGATTGACTGGTGAAGGGAACTGGAGAGTGAGATTGACTGGTGAAGGTACCCGGAGAGTGAGATTGACTGGTGAAAAGAACCTGAGAGTGAGATTGACTGGTGAAGTGAACCTGGGAGTCTTTCTGCTGCAGCATTCTTAGGATACCCAACACCTGACCTTCAAGGCATTAGGTATTTAGTGCAGAAACAGCACTGAGAAATCCTTTATGAACAGACTTAACATAAAGCAAGCCTCAGAGCAAGTTGTTGATAGGGCTTTTTAAAGAAAAACTATAACATCCACACACTGAAATATTAGGGTGGTTGTAAAATTGAATAATATTCAAGCCGTTATGTTTTCTTCTCCAAACTGCAGGTGGCAGCTTCATCAGGCAATACACAGGCAGTAGAGATGTTAATTGCAGCTGGGGCCGACACCAATGAAATAGATAAAACTTTACGCACACCACTAACTCTTGCAGTGTTTGCTGGCGTCCGAGGACCTGAGATTCAGGAAAACTTCATGAAAATAATATCCTTGCTGGTTTCTGCTGGAGCAGATTTGAATGTGAATGTTACTGAAAGCTGCAACCCATTGTTGTCTGCCACACTTCTAAAGTCAGAGCCAATGATCAGTTACTTCCTGTCTATTGGAGCAGACCCCAATATAAAATGTAAGTGTATATGTAGGACCCTTGTTGGAAAAACAAATTCCATTTCTACTGCCTAAATTTACCACTCTTTAGGGCAGTGTAGTAAAGGGTGTGGGTCTTAGGATTTAGGCCTCATGCTGTTAATTCATTAATTTAGTTTAATTGTATGTGTGTGTCCCTTCTTTGAGCTTCCTAGTCATGTTTTGTGTCATCTTTATTTAGTTTTTCAGTACCAGCTGACTGCAGTCACCCCTGTTTTTGACATCATCCACACACACAAAACGCGGAACTTATCACTGTTGTGACTGGTTGAAACCCATTGCCTTGATAAATTTAGTTTTTAAGAAATGCTTCCAGTTGAGACAACTTAAAATGAATTGTGACAGAAACCATTTTATTTGTATAATTCTATGTCTGCAAAATGGCATCTGCCTCAAGTGCTGGAGGTCCTGGGTTCAGGCCCCGACGAAGGCTTGAATTTTTTCACATGGACTTCTAGTAATTTCCCCTGGTCTCTGGGTAGTAAGATCGGACGCTCGGGTGTATTGTTTTGCATGTAAAAATTCCCCTGGCAGTTGGAAATCGAAAAGAGTAAGGTGCTGCACAGGCACAATTTTTAGTTAAAAATCTACCCAAAGTATTTCAGGATCCTTGCCGATGCTACGGGTTCGTGCACTGCTCTGAGATTCTTCAGTCTCAGGCTTGAGTTAGAAGTAGAACTATCTGTGTGCCATGATGTTGATCCGTTGTATAAACCAGACAGACTACAAAAATGTTTTACTTTGATACATTTCTGTTTGTCAAGACAATAATGTTGCATTATGGTATAGGGTAGCTTAGGCATCACAGCTTATCACGATGGTGAAAAAATGAATGAATGAATGAATGAATGAATCAAGAATATACTTCAGTCCACTCTGGACATTCCCACATGTGCTCTGTCCCCTTCTTCAGTTACCAACAAAGAACTGGCATGCTAATAGTACCAGTTACCACCTGATTAAAAGTGCGCCTTTGTTTCCCTTTCAGTGTTGTATATCTTCCAGAACTTCTACTCCCCCCCCCCTCCCCCCCCCCCAAACCATTGAATTAGTCTTTCAGTGTATAGATCTATTCTTCTGCACTGAAGTTATCAAGATGGTGAGTGGCTAGCAAGACCTACTCATGTTAAGAAAAACCACTTTAGGCTGATGATGAAGTGTCTCCTTTGCATAACACAAAGACTGAGCAGTATTGTGAAGACTATGTGTGGTCCATGCAGCACAATCCTCTTCTCTCTGCCTGCATTGTTTTACTCCAGAGAAAAGGTAACACTGATATATTTAATACAAAACATGCTACAGATGCTACCGTATCAGAGAAGCAGTACTCTGTCAAAGCGCCCCTCCTGGGTAATCTGCCAACCAAGGCTAAGGACCTGGTCTGATCTGCGGCAACATTACATTTTCAGGTTGCATTTCCTTGTTATGGGTTGAGAACTGTTATTATACCTCGTTTACAATCTGCATGTAATTATCAAGTCATGTTTTGTTTCTTAGTCTCCTCAGGTGTAACTCCAGCTCTAGTGACTTCCAGCACCGGAGATCATCAGAGCCTCAGATCTTTGATCTTCTACAATGCAAACCTCACCATTAAGGGAAGTGTCTACAAGCGCAGGAAACGAATTGAGTACATCTTAGATCCTTTTGAGCTGGCTTACATGGAAGGTCATTTAGACTTGTGTGTGCTGATGGCAAAAGCCGGGTATAACGTGCACAAGAAAACCCACTTGTTTGCTCGAGACTTACAATCTTTATCAACTGGTACAACCCCAACACTGTCTTCTGATGAGGTTTCTTTAACTTTAGCCAATCAGGAAAATATTCCGGAAGAATATAAAAGTATTTTGAAATGGCTCATTGATAAGGCTTGCAACCCCCGATCCCTGTTCGAGGAGGCAATCTTTCAAATTAGGGAATGCTTGGGCTGTCGTTTAGTCAGCGGAGTGGAGTCATTGCCTTTACCATCAGCTGTTAGGAGATCAGTTTTGTTAACTCATATACTTACCTGAGATAAACTGGAGTGAGTTCTCTTTTAACTTATTCTTGTCTTAGATTTCAAAAGATAAAATGCTCGTTATATGGTTGCCTGCTCAAGTAGAAGAGTGAACATTTACTTCTAGACTGACCAAGGTGCATAATATGGATATCAGAGTTGTTTGTGGGGCAGTAAATACAGTTATGGTATTGAATAATAGCAGTTGTGTATCATTTGCCTAAACCTCTTTCCCACAAGTCCTTTCCCTCCTCTTTTAGGCTGAATGCATTTTCCAGTATAATTTAATATACTTTTGGACACGTCTTCTCATATACAGTGTAAATAGTAGGTTATATTGACGGCTAACTTGATCTTTTTTCTTCCCATTCACCAGCTGTAAACTCTGGTGGAAAGTTCTGGTTGTTCATTCACTTCTGGACTCTAGTTCTCTTCCAGAAACCGAGTGTTGCGTGCACACCCGTTTACAGTTTGCATGCAGATGTACTCCGACTGTGAAGGAAGCTCCCACTTAGCAGACTCTTAGGACATGCTTTTAGACAAGCAGTGGGTCTATTCTTGTTTTCTTCACAATAGGGCCCCGGAACCCACATGGGGAAGCTACCTTTATGAAACCTGAAAAAATTTTAAAAAATTTCCTGGCAGAAAAAATGCCCTTCGTGTAGAATTTGTTGTGGAGAAATTTGAGCTTTGCCAGTGTTTTTAACTGTTACGGAAACCACACAGCCTCAGGAGGAAGGTGCTTTATATGTGTGTATAAAAAAAAAGGTAAACGAAAAGTCAGGATATATAAACCAGCTTCATTGCACACGGTTATAAACCAAAAGTGCACTGCCACCAGTACAAATAGCTGATAAGAAACTGTCCACTTGTGTCGCCATCCGCACATAACTCCGTAGTTACAGCGATGTTCCTCCATTTACCCTAGAGTATCAACTCTGGTACCCATTTCCTAGAGGCTGGGTGAACCCTGGGAACCGCCCGGTTTTGAACACTGACTGTGGGCTGCAGCGAGTCGCAGCTGGATTTGAAATTGGGTCTCCTGTCAACTGTGCTAACGCGGCCCCAGTATGTGTGTGTATACACATACACATATTTATATATATGCAGTGGCAGTGGTTGTAGTTTTGAAGCCAAATTGAGGTGGAGTTTAAACATTGAAAGTAAAGGCAGCTGGCTTCTCTGAGTAAAGCCATTTGTCTTTAAAAAACAAACAGAGCCAGCAGCTGTTATCAATGTCTAATTTCAGCTGCTGATGGTGTGCTGTGCTAAATTATGCCCTGATTGCATTTTCTTGAGGATTGCCTTGTTTTCCAACAAAGTCACTGGTGGGTCAGTTGTTTAGACTGCAAACTTGCATGGGAAAATGGTCTTCTTTCGTTTCGCTTGAAATAGATTATCAATATGCGCAGTGCTGTCTCTAGTATGAACTTCACTCTTGTGTAATTCTTTTAGCAGGACGTAATGTTTGGCTTCCACCAGTGAGATCTTTTGGCCAGAAGTTTTGCCTGGACATATAGTTGGGACAGACTTGGAGGATGTGATCTCTTATCTCAGGCGCCAGTCCATGAGTTCATGAAGCTGCAAAGTCGATTGTGCCCTGTTCTAAGGGGAAGAATAATGACTTGCTCTGGTCTGCCCATAATATGGTAATGGGCAAATGTAAAAACTAATTTTAATACAGTGGTACCTCGATATATCTTCAAATTAGTATGCGTCCTGTTGAGACATGAAAACGTTTGCTTGATATACAAACTTGTATGAATTAGTCATGAAACTGTGCCCTATCTTTGTTTACCTCTCTCAGGACAATGCCATCGATAGAGATGTCAATGACTTTGCATAGAAGTATCACCCCAACAAGCTGTAATAGCATTGTCTGGAATGACACATTTCTGAAACAAACTTGAGGAGAAGGCAGAAGTAAACTTCTTTGGGCAGATTGTTAGTAAATGTCCAACCTTATCAGCCTCAACCAGGTCCAAGAAAAGAGGGGAAAAAAAATCACCATGAATTTTCTGGTTTTATTTTAAGAGGACTCTCCTTCTGAACAGTAACATCTTCTTCTCCCTTCTCAGTACCATCCTGTTAGGCAGTAGACTCTTCTCAGGAATGTTGAGTGAGGGTAGATTTTTATTTATTTCATCTGATTGCTTTTTTATGTATGTATTTTAGTATTAGGCAGTACAAAATTTTTTCTATATGGGGGTTGTTAGCAAATATAAATGAGATGTCACCTAGTGCAACAAAGCCTGGCACATGACACCACATCTGGTTTGGGAATGGAGTTGGAGGCAGTCACTGTAGCCTTTTACTAAAAATGGTGAAAATATAGGGGTGACTGCAGTCAAGCTTATACAAGGAATTCCAGAGAAATTTGACTAAAAAGCCCAACAAAATGGGGAAGCAGAAAAACGTGAACAAAACAACACAACGTAACGTTTTGGCCGGGCAGCCTTTTTTCAAACATAAGAACTACACAAACGAGGAATGGAGAGTATGTAGATCCCTAAGGGGTGATGTGAGCAACGTTTAAAAAAATGTGATGTGGAATAAATGAAATAAAATAGAATAAACAATGGTAAAAAAATAGTCACACAAAAATAATAAACAGTAGTATTGTTAATATATATGATACTGGGAATAAAAGAAATACAAATGTTAATGATACATAAATGATATTGATAAGAAATAGAATAAAGTAATAATATGAAAGAAAAGAAAAGAAAATAATTAACATTTGAAATGTGATAAGAGTAGAACTATTTAGATGAAGGTATGTTGGATATTGATACCACCTGGACTAAGAATGCCTAAGCTGTGGATGAGGCGATTTTCCGAAGCGAGGCGCTTAGTATGACAGATATATCATTTTTACCTCTGTGGTCAGAGCTATTAAAAATTATGAATTAATCAAGTAACAGAAAGTATTGTGAACGGCACTCATAGAAAGAAGTAGTAAGATAGAAGAACACACTAGACAACATAAAAATCGAAAGCTATAGTTACCGTGCCGGGAATTGAACCTGTCACCTCCAGACGGCGTCTGCGCCTCGCCATGAATACAAGTGCACTAAGATACATGGTCAACTAGGCACCCCCTAATCAGAGCTATTAAAATGGAGAGGGATTGGTTTAAGTGTCTTCTTGTCAATATCAGAGAGGTGTTGCCGGAAACGATCAGCTAGCTTTCTGCCAGTTCCCCCAATGTATGCCTTACTGCATGGTTTGCAGACAATTGCATAAATTATGTTGCGGGATTCGCAAGTAAAAGGTTCCCAAATTTGGAAAGAACCATTGGGGAAACTGACTGAAGAAGTCTGGACAACAAAAGGACATGTCTTGCACTTGCTGCGTGAGCATTCAGTAGTCCTAAAAGGAAGTGCTGTGTGGATCGGTGGGAGTCGGCTTCGGACAAGTATGTCTTTAAGGTTGTGGTCTCATCTATAAATTAATCTAGGTTTCTCACTAAAGATAATCCCAGATTATCTACCATGTCATTTTCATTGTTTACTCAAGTGACATAAAAAGCAGCTCCTGTTGACCCCTAAAGGGTGCAGCCAGTGATAAGTCGGAGGCTCATCATACAAATGTGAAAGCAAGCCCAGTACCAGAGCATCATTTATTGGCTCTTCATTCATGGAAGCTTCCAACCTTGAATGGTGACAAATGTCCATGTTCTGCCTCTTTCTTCCCTTGAGAGCCAACCAGTCTGCACGTGGCTACCCTAGACAGGCCCTTTAGGTGGCAACAGATATTGGTATAAGGATAAAGAGGACACCACACAAATAAAGCCTTGTCAGGCGTCACGAAGCCAACCATGAGAGCTAACCTGGTGAAGAAATGCCTGATGAAGTTGGACGTCTTGGGTCAAAAGGTGCAAATATCACAGCCATATGCTGTAACAGGTCACTTTTATCTCACTTGAGCGAACAATAAAAATGACATGGTAGAGAAAATAAATTCAGAACCCTATTGATTGGAGAAATGAAAGCATTATGATCATAAGCTTTTCAGACATTGACAGCAAGATGTGGGTGTCAATCACTAGCCACCAAGCACAGAAAATTGCTGAATCTAAAGTACAAACATAAAGCAACTTAGAGCTGCATCACCCTCTGTTGACCACCAGACAAGTGGAACACCTTGTACGGAGAAAAAGAACAGCTTGTGAAAACATGCAAATTCCACTACATGGCATTGGGCCAAAGCTCATGCGCCGCTGGATCGATAACAACCACCTGAAATAGTGTTCATTGTCTCAAGTTTTTGTCATTTGTTAAATACATACTAGCACTTGTGCTGTGCAGCCATTGCCCTGATTTGTTCTGTCTAATGATATACTGAATTGTGCACAGCTATCTTTTAGAGCCTTTGTAAATAGTTTTTCTAAATAATTTTAAGACAAATAATAAAGCTCAGAGTTTAATGGTGCAAGAATGTCTTTATTATAACAAGTTCATAACATTAAAATTGGTTACACTCAACAGACTTCCATCAACACTTTTTATACCATTACCCTAATTTAATCCATCCACACTCATGCATTTAAAAAAACACGTTATCACAACATTGTGTGAACAGATCTGGATCAGAAGTTCCCTAGACTATCCTATCTCCCCTCATTAACTATATGAACATAGGATCTGTATAGATGCCCCTTGACCAGTGAAGGCAAGTCTCTGTGCAATGGATCCACTTAGCTTTGCCAACTAAAAGTGACACTGCTTGGGCTGCATGTTTCACTTCACAGATTGATCAGAGGCAGTCCTTACAGGTTTGACCAGCAACTCAAACAATATAGCAGACCAGTATTCTAACCATTGAGACAATCTGACAGGTATTCAAGATCTACAATGTATGATTTATCCATACATGTTCTTGCCAAACTGACCAACTTTGTATGCTGTCAATGAAATTATGTGAATCCAAGTCATACCATACCACTGGGATGAGAAATGTGTTCTCATAATAATCTAAAAGTTTCCTAAGTGAAGGATATTTGTCTCTGTAGATTTCTCAATTTCTGCAACTCAGCTGGAACCTGATCTATGACTGACTATATTCTCAAGAATCTTGCTGAAAAAAAAGTATGAATTTTAGTATCCAGCAGCACTTAAACCCCAACCTTTGACCAAATGTCATGTGATGTTTACATATTCCTACTATCCACATTCACACACAGATTAGAAACACAGACACCTGTTAGTCAGAATCATTTTTCTTGTGCTTTTTCTTCTTCTTCTTTTTCTTCTCTGATGAAACCTGCAAAAGAAAAGAGGAAAAAAAAGTATGAATACAAGTAGGCTATGCAAAGTAATGTACAACTATTAGAGGCTACATTTTCCTACCTAAATGATAGTCATTTCAGTGTTTGGGTCTTCACATACCATAGTGGGGAAAGTTAAGGTGATACCCCACCAGTTCCTCCTGCCACAATATTGCTGGATCTACCCTAGAGCACTGTCCTTTACATATAAACAAGTGAAGAAAGACCACACATAAACAAAACACACAGTTGAGCTCAACAGTCTGTGGATTGTGAACAGGCTTTGGAGCAGCACTGGTCTCTTTGAAACTGGATCATTTATGAGATCCCAGCAGAATACTTTACAATGTAAGCAATACATAGACCTGAAACAGGTCTGTGAATGTGCCTCAAATATGCCATATGACCAAGCCATTCAAGTGTCTGCCTTCATCTGTCTCTATTATCACACTTGCTACTTTTTTTAAGTTTTGTCCTTTAATTTGCTCTTTTACAGTTTCAGGTGTCCTGTGAGATATTAAGGTCCTGCTTCTGTTACTGTAGCCACCTCGACCAAGGACACACTGTACCTCTCTATCTTTCCATCTTCTTCTTGATTTATGTCTTGCCCTATATTCCTCTTCTTTTTTGGCATATGCCTTGCATAGTAGGGCATCTCCAAGTGGACACACTATTTTATTTGCTGTCTTTAAATGTATTAGTTCATGGTGCGGCGATTTCGGTCAGTTGTTAGAGAAAGTTGAGTATTGTGATATGTATTAGGATTAAGGATAAACCCCATACCATATCTCGGGTGCCAACAGGTTCTCTGTTGCTTTTATGTATCCTCGGGCAAGACTCCTGCCACATGTCAACATTGTGCTCAATGGATAAGGGCTCATCTGTGTGGCCTGCACCAATCTGGCAGGGTTTCTTAGAGTTAGTAGCCTCCTAGTGATGTAGTTCCAGCCTGGCTCTCATCAGCCCACCCCAAATGCACGGGTGAAAATGTCTAATCTAATTCTAAACAGAGTATGACCACTGGCCGACTATACCACTAGATGACAACTCTTGGTTAAAACATGTAGAGTGGGGAAAAGTTGCCGAGACTCAGTTGTAGACCAAGAGATTTCCCTGCAGCTTAGACGAGCACCATCTCATGTTGGAGCTTTCTTGCGGAATAGTCTTTGTCTCCATATATCCTCTAACTGCCCTCAACATAGTTAACGCATTGAGGCTCACCACAGAAACCTGTCATATCAGTTCTCTGATTAAGACCAAATGTCAGACAGATGCCTGTTTCACGGCGCAACAGCAAAGCCCTCAATATTGCAGCTTTGCTGTAAGCAGGCAGAACACAATTACATCTCTCAGACAGACAAGAAGAAGATATGTATTAGTTTTGTGTCGACTTTTTCTCTTACGACTTTATTCCCGTATCTCTTTTGCTCACTCCTGCAGCCTTTCTCAGACATCTCATTTCCATGGTTACTTATGTTCTTTTCTGGTTTGTTATGGGTTGACTATGGCTGGCACTGGTAAAATATGGCAGGGATGAATATGCTATGTAGGAGCTGTTTGTGCTGATTGGGACTTTCTTATGCTTTGAGAGGGAAGCTAGCTGTCCCAATACTTGGTTTGCATTAGTGCATTAGATGTTTCTTCACCCAACTGGCCATCTTCAGGGCATGATGTTTCAGATGCCTGTGCTTTCTACTGCAATATTTCAGTTATGATTTTTTTCCTTGTCATTAATTTGTGACTTTTCTGTACGTTTTTCATTAATGTCAGATGTTGCAGTTTTATGTTGAATTCTTTGAAGAATAATTTTTTTTTGTCTTTTGATGTTTTTTTTAAATCTTTTGTTCTCCTCATAATATACCGCCCTCTCCACTCAAAAAGCTGATGTCTCATCTGATTTTCCAACCGTCTGAATTTGTCTCCTAATCTATCATGTTTTTCTCAGCGCGTCTGATTATTGTCCAAGCTTTAATGTATAGTATAATACATGTTAAATCTGCAACCCCTCCCCCCTCAAATCATTTTATTCGTTTTCTATCTTAAAGGTTACTTCTGCTATAGTAATTCTCATTCTATCGGTTACAAGACATTTTCTGCAAGACACCGACTCCCAAAATGATCTGTGCTGATAAACTTTAATTAGGAATAATCCCATCTACCGAAAATGGACTGTTCTTCCTTTCTTGGTGTTTACACTCACCTAATCAACAATTACTGTAGACTCGGCCAAACAAAAAACTGCCACTTACTGCCTATATTATAGCAATTTTGTGGTGTAGTCTTTAAGCTAGAATCGAGGTTAGTGCTGTCACAACAACTGTGCAAACGACGATTTTATTTTGCCCCCTACAGAAAACCACCCAGCTTTACTGAGGATTCGAACCCGGATCTGCCGTTTGAGAACCTAGTGACCATAGACTAGTATTGCATATGGGGGATATTAACAAATAGACAACAGCACTGCATGAACACGTCGTGGATATGACTGGAAAATGTATATGCAATGTTACTAAATCAGCAACAGCTAGCTCATCAATACACATGAAATTAAGTATTCATTACCTCAGCATCATCTCCATTCTCTTCTTTTTCAGACTCCTTCTGTTTATCTTTCTTCTTTTTCTTCTTCTTCCTTTCTGATGCATCCCCTGCTGGTGTGGTCGCCTCCAGGGTGGTGTCAATTGTAGATTTGTTGGCTGTCTTATTGCCATCACTGTCTGAGCTGCTGTTATCTCTGGCTCTCTTACGTTTCTTATCCTTTTGTGGTGTGCTGTTGTTAAAGAATATATTAAAATACTTTTAATACTCTAATGTCTACAATTTTTACTAACACACTAAAGCAAAACAAATTTTCTTTCTCTTATTCTATATGGGAGAAGCACCCATATTTTTAACAGACCAATCAACACTAGGTGGGTAATGTAGTCAGCAGTACGCTGGCCTTCTTTACTTCCCCAGGACATGCGTCCTGGTGCCTATTTAAGGCTGGTTCGACCTGCAACGCCCCATTCCACGATAAAAATCCATGCAGCCTTCAGTGGGTTTTGATCATGGTATGTTGAAATTAGGAGTTGGACTTTCAGCGCCTAAGCCGTGGACGCCGCAAGCACTAAAACTGTCTAAGGTAATTAAAAAATGTTTCACAGGGGTTTGCAGGTTGGTATAATATCTTCTTCTTCTGCGTTCAACATCAGTCATGCTAAACATCGAGTCCCGTCTGAGTCACAAATAGGATTGTGCGTTTAAGGTCGCCACCGGCCCCCCATAGCTTCTGCTTTCTCTGGCTTGCTTGTCCATAGTTCTGGCCTAAGTTTTTTGCACAGTACAACATCTCCTGGTGCTGTCTGCACAGTTCTCTAGCAAGCTGGTTGGGGCTCTGATGCTTCAGTTTTTTGTTCTCTCTTGAAATTTAAAATGCAGTGGGTGACTTTTTAATTTCTCATGGTATAATATAAAATGGACATTAGGAAATTTTTTGTGAAGTAAAAGTGAACAGAATGCGGACTGGTCTATGAATATGAAAGCCAGAACTAAAAACCTAACACGTTCTGGGCTGGGTTCCGCACTCCCATTTTGGGGGGGGGGGGGGATAGACCCACTGCCGCCCCCCCCAAAAAGGTCTGTAAAACAAATGTGCACGTAATATTTAGGTTCTGGAACTGAACTAAAGCCCAGAAGTTGACACATAACCAGAACTATCTCCCAGTTTACAGCCAGTCTGCATAAAGAAGAAATACCCAATACTGCCCCAACACGTGGGACAAATTCCAATTCAATCATATATATCAAAGATGTTAGAGCCAGAGGGGGAAAAAACTCCGGCCGGGATGACTGAGTAGGAGACGAAGACTAGTTATCAGGAATAACGCAGCAGCGTCTGAAAAGGAACATGACTGCTAGTGTCACTTAGCATGAAATTAAACTTGATCAAGTAGACAGATTCTGCGAAAAGCAATTTAGACAACTTATATACATTTAAAAGATAGCAATGGTCCCGTCTTTAAGATAAAACAAATGAAATACCCCCGTCTTATTCTCAGTATTATAAATTTGCAAAGACCATATATTCACAGCTGTAGGTCTTGATCCCTTCTTTGCTGAAGTTTCTTATCTGATCTCCCCCAGTGCACCGATCAATCGAATTGCATCTTCCTTTATTTCTGGAGTACATTCTCCTTTGTTACCATCCCTGTAGTATTTTAATTCAGAAACCAACCCAATCTATAGAATATGTGTTAGCTGAAAGGGAAAATACCTCAATACTGTAAAAACATAATGCAAACACAAAAATGTTTTTATGTCAAAACAAGGGAGTGAACCTACTGTAGGCTAGCAACTGCATCTGCTGTTGATTCTGTCTTAGCATCAACACTGGGGACAAAAAAATAGAGCATAAAAGATGTTACACACAAGCAGAGGCACTGGTTAGCGTACTGTTATAATAACATACAAGGTTGCAGAGAACACATTTCATTGCAAAAAGATCAACCCCACATGGTCTGGTATTAACAGAACAGCTGGCTGCCTCCCTAGCAACAATCCATACAGATCTCCCAAAAAAAATTTACCTGTAGGTAAACAATGATGCAGTCTGTGAAATAAATCTGACTTTCAGTGCAAGAGGCAACAACAACAAAAAGACGCCAGAGTTTACAGCCGGAGTAAGATAAGAGAATGTCAAGTAAAGCCATTTTCACTTGATTTTTTCTGTCACGCGTAAACATGCAAAAAAAAAAAGTTAAAGTATTTCCACTGCTGCTACTGGCATCTTTCCGTGTTTTCAGATGACAGCATTATACAGTACTACTAGGAGGCCTGTAAATCACAGCATATGATGGCAAATATGGCTAGCAAGACTCGCCTGAGTTAAGAAGTCTTCCACGCTTAGAGTATGGGATTTCAGAACTGTTGTTGCCATAACATGTATATCTCTATCCTTTCCTGGATTTTCCCTTTCACTCAAAAAGGCCCATTGCATTTATGTCTATGATGCACTGTCAATGCCATAGCGCCAATGATTCGCACCATCAAAACGACTAATAATAAAGAACTATTTGCGCGCACACTTCATCCAGTACTTACTTGAAATCCTCGATATTTGGGTTCCAACTCTTTGGAGTGTTCTCATTTGGCTTGCCATATTTGTTAAGTAAACCTTGCTGGATTAGCTTCTTTTTGTTGCTTGCCTGCAATGAAGATTAAAAGTACTAAATATATTATTATCTGTATCAAACTTACAGGTCAACAACAAAGCTGTGCTTATTGTAGAGGCTAGCACAGATGGATTTTAAATATATAACTGACATTGGGTCACACGTCAACCCTATCTTAAATCAGTACTATGAAATGTTCTGGGACACACAGACAGCCTATATGACACTGACCATAACACCTGTGAGTGATTACCATTAACCCAAACATGACTGCTAATTTCACCTATATAAACGCCTTGGGGAGCATGAGTCTTCAACAAACTGATGCTAAGCCCTGGTTGGATTTTGCAGCTAAAGTTTTCTAGGGGTGAAGTTGCCAGCCCCATGCCAATCCCGCCTTGATTGCATTAGTTTAACGTTTCTATGTTTTGTTTCCACTAGAACAGAGAAGTTTGATAATATATACTTGTTAACAACAACTGTGCATACAAGGTATCAAATATTCAAATGTGCACACTAAACAGTCAAGAGATATTACAATTCCTGCCATTTTCTGTACAATCACTACAAGACATGGCAGCAGGTGGAACATATACCTTTGGCCCCAATCCCCATTTCCTGGGATATGTGTTTCTTTCCATGATGACTCTCTTCAGCTTGGCACAGATACCATGGTCACAGGTGGACATCACAGCAGTGGTCATCTGAGCAATGGCTGAAGAGAAAACAAACTTTATTATGATGTGTGTCAGGGCTCAAGAGGCATGCAGCAAGGTCAGATCACAAGCCTATAGAGGTAACCCGACATGCCCTGTCCTTCATTCTGCTTGCTCATATTCTCCTGCGACTCCCTAAACTTAATAACTACCAAGTGTTGTGCAACGCTGCAGGGCACGGTCAAATGACAAGAACACACTGACAATATGAGGAATATGTTTACCATTTATACGAAAAAGTCGGAAGTACATAAGAAAGGGTTCTCTATTACTATTACCTTCATTCCTATAGTTGCAACATCATTATCAACAAAAACACCAGTTTATCTAAATATCTCACAATCAACGCTATCTGGATTACACCCATTATACAAGTCACACCCATATTCATGTGCTTCTCTTCCAATAACAGAAGATTTATGGTCCCAATTTTATCCATGCTGCTTGCATGCTACGTCTGGACTATCATGACAATACACAGCTTTATATAAACCACAGGGTACACATTTTCTCTAAGTACTAGTAAATGGCTGCGTGGTCCAGGTTCAATCCACGGTAAGGGCTCGGATTTTTTTTTTTACGAGGACTTGGACTTCTAGTAATTCCCTTGGTTTCTGGGTAGTGAGATCAGACACACAAGTTTGCATCGTTGTGAACGTTAAAAAAATCCCTTAGCAGTTGGAAATCGAAAGAAGAGTAGCCTAATTTGGAGTTAAAATCTACCCAAATTATTTCAGAATCCTCTACAAAGCCTGTGCACTGTGCTGAGCTTCTTCGGACTTGAGTTAAAAGTAGAACGAAGCCCTAATGGGTCACTACCTGTACCACGATGATCCATTGTTCAAAACCTCAAAGTACTAGTATTGTAACCAATTGAGCTAACCTGTTATTTAAAACTGGCCAGTATAGATTAGGAAATAGCAGGTGCGAAGGTGGCACTGACCTTGTCACGCCCAAAGATCTGTATGCCTCAGTGGCTTGTAAATAATATGTTTTGAATAATCATTTATTGGATCCGCATCCATGTGGATTTTTGTAATCAGCATAGGGTTACCATACTGACCTAGCTTAAAACGAGTACTAGAACATGTCTTGGTAAGCAAAGCCGACTGGCGTGATGATCACGGACACCTCTACTGGGTGTCACTTGTTATTCTTCTTCTTCTTGTTCACCAGCTGTGAATTCCGGCGGTAAGACGCGGTTGTTCGTCCAAATGGACTTTTGGCTTTTACCTCGACCTGAGTTTTGCGTGTACATCTGTTTTACTGGCTTATTTGTTTGCAGTCCTCATTCCCTGCCTCACCGGCAGATGTACTCCGACTTTGAGGGAAGACGTCAAGCCTATTTCTAGGTTGACTGTGGCCATTGTTTTGTGTGGGTCGAGATGTTGCCTCATTTGTGTGGTGTCCTCTTTGACCTTTAACAGGTGTGGCCCCCGGAATATCCTCCTTAAGGCAGCCCTAGGTAGAATTTTTAGCCCTCAAGGGAAGGCAGGGGCAGATCATGGGCATTCCCCGCCATCCAAGGAGGCTTCCATAAATGCAGAGCCGACACATAATGCTCTGATTCTGGGCTCACCCAAGGAATCGTCACGTCCTGCCCATGACTGCTTAACCTCACAACCGTGTATTGAGCTGCCCGTGCTACAAGGCTGCGCTCTCCGGAGATCAGCGGGGAGCAGCCCGCAGGTCCAGGACTTTTCTGGCCACACAAATAGGTACATTCTTTTTCATCGTACGTTAGACACCTTTAACGTTGTTTCAGCTGTGCCCTTAGCACGACAGAATGGGGAAGCAAAATGCGTCAGGCGTGGCTTCACCTGTTTGGTTCCAACACTCGGGCGAGTGGGACCAGAGGATACGGACATTTGGATTTTTTCCTAATCTGTACGAATTAAGATCGTCGGACTTTGAGCTTGCATGTGTGCCGTGGGGTATAACTTTGTCGGACATTATTTCCTAGCCAGCATATGAAAAGTTGCTGCCGTGGTGTACCTCAGCGCGGTGACGACGACACTGAGGATTGACAGAGGATGTACGTAGGTAGGATCTTGCTGCGAGAAGTCACCCACAAGAGATGTTACTCGCCTTGGCTGCAGGTAAATCTCTCGGTCAGGGTTGAGTCTCAGCAGCACAGTTTTTCATTCGCTCCCGAATTTTAACCGAGAGTTGTCATTTGATGGTACATTTAGCAAGCAATATTTGAGTTTTGTTAGACTTTTCACCCATGCGTTTGAGGGCGGGCTGGTGAGAGCCAGAAAGAACACTACACCTCTAGGGGCCGCCAGCTCCGAGATCCCCTGCCAACTCTGTTAATGCTCATTTGAGACATTATCCGTGGCGCACGACGGGGACGCGCAGCAGGAGTCTTGCATGAGGTTCCATAAAACCAGAACAGTGAAGGACTGGCGCCCGAGTGGGGTACAGAGTTATCTCCTTATACACATCACATCAGACTTAACTTTGCCTCATGCCTGTGACCGAAATCACAGCGCCACGTCACTTGTTATGTGCTAGTAGGTATATTTTTCTACCCAAAATGGAGCCCCAGAACCCACAGAGAGACACTAATAAACAAGATGACACTTACCTAAAGCAACAGCCTCTCCTTTAGTTGTCACAATAACAATTTCTAGTCCAATTTCTATATCATCTTCATATCGGAGAACACCTGGCAGAAGGACTTGAGCACCATGACACAAGGCATTTACCTAAATGTATGATTTGTCAATGTAATGAAAAGAGTGTCATTGATATTTAAACATATAATGCAGACATAAAGACGTGCATACAGAAACATAAACCCTACTAGTACTTGAACACTTGGCCTTCTCTTTGATGTGAATTACCGAATCTAAAGTAGTCAACAGATGTGAGACTGCTCACCAGAAATAAGAAGCTGCCAAGTTGAGTTGATTAAATAACTGACATCACAGCACTCAGGATTTTAAAACAAGCAATCTGACCCCATGCAGGGAAAAGTATTCTAAATTCAGGAGAAACTATTTTGTTCTCAGGACACAGAGGAAAATTCGCCGCACAGTGAGGGAGTGGCCCTGATGCTATCAAAAGAAGCAGACAGGGCACTAATAGAATGGGAAGCTGTGAGTCCCAGAATAATAAGAGCATCTTTTAGAACAGTTAAACAGAAGGTGAACATCTCGGTAATACAGTGTTATGCACCAACAAATGATAAAGATGCATCTGTTAAGGAAGAATTTTACATGCAGCTTCAAAATATTATAAATAATGAAAGAAAGGGCAACTTAAAAATTTTGATGGGTGACTTGAATGCTAAGATAGGATCAGACAACACAGGTTATGAAGAAATTATGGGGAGACGTGGTCTAGGAGTAATGAATGAAAATGGAGAATTGTTCACAAATTTTTGTGCAGGTAACCAGTATGTTATTGGTGGAAGTATTTTTTCCCATAAAAGTATACACAAGGCAACATGGGAATCACCAGACCATAAGACAACTAATCAAATTGACCACATATGTATTAACAAAAAGTTTAGATCATCCCTTTACGATGTTAGGGCTTTCAGAGGTGCCGATGTATTTACTGACCATTGCCTGGTGGTAAGTAAAATCAAGTTGAAACTAAAAAGATATATAACATCTTATAATCATAGAAACCAATATAATGTAGGCTTTCTCAGAGATAAAGAAATTAAGGAACAGTTCTCAGTTACGGTCTCTAATAAGTACCAGGTGTTGCAGAAGTTAGCTGAAGATGTCAACACAGAAGTCTGCTGGGATCAGATCAAAGGAATCTGGAATGAATCTTGCGTAGAAGTTCTTGGCAAGAAAGAAAGGAAACATAAAGCATGGATAACACCAGAAACCATTAAACTGATTAAAGATAGGAAAAGTAAAAAGGCAGAATTAAACAATAGCAAAACTAGAGCTGCTAAAGCTAGAGCTCAGGAGAAATACACAGAAGCCAACAAGGAAGTTAGGAGGCATATAAGGGCAGATAAAGTGAAATATCTAAATGATCTAGCACAAGAAGTGGAGACAGCAGCAGCAAAAGGAAACCTCAGAGAACTTTACAGTAACACAAGAAAATTAGTAGGTAAATATAGTCAGCCAACTGGATCAATAAAAAATAGTCAAGGAAAGGTACTTACTAACACTAAAGATCAAATAGACAGATGAGTTGAATATTTTGAAATGCTTCTAAATAGACCAGGCCCAGAGGTTCCCCAAGATATCCAGCCTTTAGAAATGGAACTGGATATCAACTGTGAGATACCATCCAAAGAGGAAATTAGGAAAGCTATAAATGTTCTCAAGGAAGGAAAGGCGACAGGCCCACACGGTATCCCAGCTGAAGCCATCAGGGCCAACATAAACACATCAACAGAATTGCTACATAGATTATTCAGTAAAGTCTGGGAGACCGAAGAAATACCAGCAGACTGGAGAGAAGGATATCTTGTGAAACTGCCCAAAAAAGGTGATCTACAGGAGTGTGAAAACTATATAGGAATTATGTTGCTGTCAGTTCCTGGAAAAATATTAAGTAGAATTATTTTGGAAAGATTAAAAGATGCTATTGATAAAATGCTAAGAGATGAGCAGGCAGGTTTTCGGTCAAACAGATCATGTACTGATCAGATAGCCACATTACGTATTATAATAGAGCAAAGCATTGAACTGAACTCACCACTTTACATTGGATTTATAGACTATGAAAAAGCATTTGACAGCATTGATAGGGAATCTCTCTGGAAATTGATAGGGCACTATGGAATCCCAAAGAAAATTATCAACTTAGTAAAGGCAACATATAGAGACATGAAATGTTGAGTTCTTCATGAGGGAAAGCTAACAGATGCATTTGAAATAAAAACAGGTGTGCGACAGGGATGTTTTTTGTCGCCTCTCTTATTTTTACTGGCTATAGACTGGACTATGAAAACAGTAACTGCTAACACCAAGAATGGAATTCAGTGGACCCCTACAAAACAGCTTGATGATCTGGACTCCGCTGATGATATTGCTCTTCTGTCCCATTCACGGAATCAGATGCAAGATAAATTAAATATACTTAATGCGAGATCAAAGCAGCTTGGTCTGAAAATCCATAAAGGAAAGACAAAGATCATGAGAATAAATTAGGCAAATAGTAATGTGGTTTCTCTTAATGGCACCCCACTCCAAGACGTGCAGTCGTACACCTATTTAGGCAGTAATAAATTACAGACATTCATTAACTGGTGCCTGCGCAGAATAGAGGGAATAAAATGGTATGATAGAATAACTAATGTAGAACTTTGGGAGAGAACTAAACAAGCTCCAGTGGATCAGGAAGTGGCGTTGGATAGGGCACACACTGAGAAAACAGGAGAACAGCATTACTAGAACTCGTTCTAACCCCCAATGGAGCAAAGGCCCTCAACCAACTCACTTTGCCAAGTTATTTTATCCTTCGCTATCGCGTGCAGCTCTCCCCACCTCTTTAATGTAGCTCTCTAGTTTCTTTCTCCTTTTTTTTTTAAAAATCTTTCTTCATTTCTGTGCCCTGTGGGTTCCAGTTACATTGTTCTTAAGTTTTTTTATGCCTTAGTTGTTCTCCATGTTTCTGCTCCATACAACAGTAACAGGTTTGATTTCTTTTGACCACAAATACCCTACTGCTTTGCTTGCCTTCTGTATTCATACTGTAATATCTTTAATGAGGCCTTAACTAAGTCTGCCTTATCATGCATCAAAATTCCATTGCAGAGCCAGCCAATCTGACCAGCGACTTCTTTTTTCAACATACTGGCATGACCCGGTGAAAGAAATCCAGACAACGTTGTCACACTGGTGTGAAGTCATACCAGGGAATTTTACCAAAACAAGTGTAAAGCTGTTACACTAATGTGTGAAGTCATGAGACGAGAATTTTACCTTCTAACAGGTGTGTGAAGTTGTCATACGAGTGTGTGACATCAAACCAGAGATTTTACTCAAATTGGTGTCATAATGTTAGAGAGCTTTATCTAAAATTATGTTCTGTCATCACATCACAGAAGGCCACCTTAGCCTCCAGTGATTATATTATAATACTCACACCTAACAACCCATGACATCGCACAGCTAACTTACTGCAGAATCCTTGATGATGATTCTCTTGTGACCAACCAGCAGGGCTTCCAGCGGCCGGATACAGTGGCGCAGGTAGGCATCATCCTTCTGATTGTCATACATCCACTGTGCATCAAGAACATCATGCATTGTCACCATCCCTTCCTGTGTAAGATACCAAACAACACTGATAATAGAAAGACCAACACTAGTGGTACATCCTAGTAGCTAAAGTTTAGATATAGACAACACCTCCACAGCTGATACTATCAATTTGAGTGGACAGATGTATATGTACTTGGAGGTGTTGCCCAGTTAATGCATTAATCAACATCAAAACATGAGTGAATTATGTATTAGAAAAATTAAAAAATAACACAGCATAGCGATATGACTAATTTGTTAAGTGTCAAACTGTCTATATGACAAGCCTATTAGAGTGTCAAACTTTCTATATAACAAGACTATTAGAGTGCCAAATATTCATCATTATTTAGTGAAATCCTCGTCGGTCTGACACTCAAATGTGTGATAATAAGGGTAGAAGCTTGATAATACAATTAGGATTATCGAAATAGGAGATCACCAAATAAAATATACATATCTGCAAAAAAAATAATAATTCAAGATCAAATTTAACCCTCTTAGCACGGACGGGCCGATTATCGGCCGGCGGATGTCTGGCCAAAAACACAGAACGGCCGATGATCGGCCCGATCGTGTTTCGCCTCGAACCGCTAAGAAATCTCCTACTTTGAAACACTGAAAGTGATTCATTTATATTAACTGCGGTATCAGCTTTACACATGGCGACTTTCGAGTGTTTGGTATTGATGTGAAAATTGTTGAATTTTTTAGATAGTGACCTGAACCGCTAAAAGTATGTCTGACTCGTATGTTTCTGCCCCTAAACTTGATGTTGATAAAACATTTGAATCAAGTGATGACACTAATTCTGTTGATACTGATGCAGGATTTAGTGTTAGTAGTAATAGTGGGAATCATATGGGGACGCTGTTGTGTTCAGACTACAGCCCAACCATGGCTCAGGGTATATGCACCCGAAGGTGTTGACACTCCTGCACATCCATTTCTAGTGCTGACTGATGGTGAAAAACACATGTCACCTAAAGATATTATTGCTGTTTCACATATATATACCTGTTTTTGACTATTGAATTGCTTACAACGTTTGTAAAAAGGCCAAAGATCAATAAAAAGATTTCAAATAAAAAAAATTTTAGTTTTTAGTTTTATGTTTCAAGCATTGAAGTTGAAAATTCAAATTCATATTTTCTATTTTTAGATATGCAAATGAGATAATTTGCATATACATCAATTAATTTTAACGATATTGTGAAAATCACGAACTTCAATCTATATCCTTCAAATAGATATATTATTTCATAGGGGTCAGAATAAGATAAATCTGTCAAAAAAATTAAATAAAGTAATAACCAAATTCACTGAAAAAATGCTCCGTGTTTTTGGCTAGACCTCTGAAAAACTTCCCGTGCTAAAAGGGTTAAACAAATGTAGCATATCTACAGAGTGTAAAATAAAGACAAACAAATCAACCACACCTTTTCACTCTGAATTCCTGACCGAACCCGTCTCAGCTCCTTCATGTGTCCCCCGACCCCAAGGAAGAGCCCCAGGTGGACACACATAGTCCGAATGTATGTGCCAGCCTCACAGCTCACCCAGAATATTCCTGGAGTAAACAAAAGGCACAACACACTTGATGTATGATCGCATCAGATCACATGTTAATGTAAACAAAATGCATAAAAAGCTCAGAATTTTTAAGTCTAAAGTGAATTAAAAACAAGTATTTACAGGAATGTTTGTTGGGAAAATGGATAATGCAGCAGCCAGATGCTCGCCTATGGACCCCAAAGAATGTGGATTAAAATCTGAGGTGGGTTTTTTTAATGACAAAAGGTTACAGGGTAAAGCACTAGTAAGTAGTGTCAGCCCGAGCTTCTACATCTAGCGCTGTATACACAATATGCTGAAGGGCGTGCGTTTTCATTAGGAAAGACAAAAACTGAAATATACAAATTGATGTGATTTTTAATTAGGCAATAAAGCAAAACAGTAACACACACAAAAAATGCAGCATTCAGTGATACATCACCATCATGGTTCTGTTGCCCCAATATGGAGACAGGTTTAAGGGAAAGAGAACAGATCTAACGCAGTATAAATATCAGTGAAACAAGGACATTAATAAAGGGTTTGCTAAAATCGAAAGTGTTTGGTCAAATGGCAGTGCAAATATCAAAGCCTAGCTGTAAACTAGAACATACTGGTCAAGAAAAGCAGAAAAACAAATCAAAATGCTAATATAATCATGTTTATCAAATCACATGACATTATTTCTAATGAATAGCTCTAACTGTAACTCACCATTAGAGATCATTTTTATCTGTCAGTTCATTTTTTAAATTTTTTTTTAAACATCTAGGCCCATACAGCGATTGAACAGTCTATGGTTAAGCTCCAGCAAGGAGATCAAAATTAGAATTTTGAGAGTATGAATTTTCCCTGTGGCTACATACGGATGTGAGTCGTGGACTATCTCTTAGTCCTTAAGAAAGAGAATAGGGGCTTTCGAGCTGAAATGCTATAGAAAGATTCTCAGAATATCTTGGACAAAAGATCTGAACATCAAGGAAGATTGGCTAATAAACAGCATCCTTTCATGAAAGCTGAAATATTTTGGTCATATCAAGCGCCACGACGGATTGGAAAAAATTATAGCAGAAGGCATGATATCAGGAAGGAGGGGCAGGGGCCGACCGACACGAAGATGGGCACAGGATATAAGTGACTCCTTGAGTGTGAAAGTGCATAAGAACTGGCGAGAGATCGAGTTTCTTTCAGGCAGACTGTGATGAGAGCGACGTTCTGCAAAGGACCTGCTACATGATGATGATGAGGCCCATACAGTCCTAACGTAGCTTAAATCTAAGAAAATCAGAAACAATCATTATAAGAGCATATAAAACGTTACATTCAGTCCTTAAAAATTTTTTTTTACCTCACATGCTAAGCTTTTATCTATTTTATTTAACTTGCCACATATGTCAATAATTGACTACAGATGGTCTTTCAAATATTCTTAGATCTTATGACAGACGGGGGTGCGAAGCTGTGCTTACCTAGACTTCTATTGGCATCATATTCCAGCATTTTCACATCATACACTGTCCTAATTCGCAACTGTCGCTTCACTGCTGATATCAGTGGTGGTCTCTGAAACATGGCACCCTTAATTCCCTCCAGACACTGCAAAAAAGATGCATTCAGTAGATAAGCATAAATTAACAATCAAAGTTACTAAATTTAACACTAGGATGTCTATAATTTTTGAAAATTAACCAATTGTGATAACACTAGGACAGAAGAAAACAATGTGGTAAATGCATTGGCATTTTTTTTTTTTTTTTACATAACTGACAAAACCTAGTACAATTGAGTTCCGTTTTGACTAATGGATCATAAGCTGAACTCGTCTATGTCAAAATTATACTTTGCAACACTATTCTGATGTAAACAGTTTATAAAAACTAAATAAAAGACACACAAAAAAAACATAATAAATGTATATTATGTGAAAAATAAAACTCTTTTTTCCCTGAACCTTTTTACAATATCAATGGTTTTATTTCTCTATTTGTGTGTGTGTGAGATCATAGATGCAGATGGCGCCTGTAAGTTGAGGAGAGGATGTGGCAAACACTCGTATTAACTGCTATGCCCTAGACAACAGTTCTCGTAAGAAATTATAAATGTATATATATATATATATATATATATATATATATATATATATATATATATATATATATATATAAATATATAAATTGACTCAATGAGGCTATTACTACTGGTAGGTAATTAGATTATTGACAATATGTGTACCCAGTAATAACAATGGCTTATGCAGGCATAATTACACTGCTGATAATAACAGTTTACAAATACTTACCAGACGGACTTTTTTCTCTTCTGCAACCGGATTGTGCAACTCAAAGATACAGACGTACTCCTTTCCCGCTCCTTGCTGAGATTTGACTAAACGAGTCGCCCTTTCAATACAAACAATCAGACAACCGGTAACCTTTGGGTCAAGGGTGCCACTGTGACCAGTTTTCTCGACTCTGAGAATTCGTTTGATCCATGCAACCACTTCGTGTGATGAAGGGTTGGATGGTTTGTCAAGATTGATGAAGCCAGTTCTGAAAGAGAATAACAATATACACTAGAACACAAGCTACAAACATAAGTAAATCATAACTCAAGTAACAGCATGGCACTAGAGATGGAGTATTGTGGCCAGGTACTCTCATGCTGGCCCAAAAGTCATAGCCACCCGGTGGATCGGGGTGGGGGGGGGGGGGGGGGGGGGGGGGGGGGGGGGGGGGGGGGGGGGGGGGGATATAACTCTGCTCCCAGGTCAACACATCCTAAAATAGGCACCAACAAGAGTTGCTAAATACAACAGACAATGTGACTAGAAGGTTTAATGGAGGGAATAGTAAAGACATGTACAAATACAACCGAACATCCTTGTATGAATATAACAAACATACACACTAGATCACAGCATGATAACTACCAGGGTTCATAGCCAAATTTACCAATCAATTTCAAGGCTTTTCAAGGTCTCCTTAGTTTTTTTCAAGGTTGTCTCGGTGTAATACTGAAACAAGATTTTTGCCTTGTTCAAGGGTGTACTGAGCACACAAGGTACTTCATTTGGGCCACATGTGTTGGTATACCAGCACAGATATCATCATCATGTAGCATTTCCTTTGTCCTGACAAAAAAACCTCGGTCTCTCACCAGCTCTCCCGCCTCATGTACTTTTTTATACTCAAGGAGTCACTTATATCCTGTGCCCATCTTCGTGTTGGTCGGCCCCTGAGCTTGATATAGTGTTGGAAATTTTTTTTTAGGGCTTGGTGGTAGAGGGCAGCAACTTGAAGTCCTGTCTGTTCTGGACCTGGTACCTGAGAGGGTTAGGGGGGAGAGAGAGAGTCATGAAGAGAGAGGAAGACACATGCTGAGGTAGGCTGGGAGAGACAGTGTAAAGATGGACAGATGAAGGTAGAGAAAAGAAGGAAAAGAAGTCTGGGGAAGGAGGAAAAAATGAGAGGAAGGGATGGAGACATGATGAGGAAAAGTGGGGAAGGGAAAGCGAAAGACAGAGAGGGAGATAAATAAAGAAAGAGGGAATGCAGATACAGATATGGGCAGATGAAAAGAGAAGGAAAAAGGGAACGAAACAGAGATATGGAAGGAGGAAAATATGACAAAGAGTTGAAAGAAGGGAGACAGAGGAAGAGAGAACGGACAGGGTGAGAAGCAGATGCAAGCAGAGAGAGATGTAGACATAAAGGAGAGAGAGACAAAGGGACAGCACAGAGAGGCAAACAGACAGAGGGAGAGAACCAAAGAAAGAGAAAAAAGGCAGAGCAGGAGAATGGGAGGGAGGTATACAAAGAGGAAGTGATAATGGGAGGCAAACAGAGAGAGAGAGAGAGAGGTGGGTAAGGAAGGCAGTGACAAACACAGATTAAGAGAGAGGGGCAGAAAGGGAGACAAGATACATCAAAGAAAAAAACAGCCACCTACACCCACCCCCCCCCCCCCCCCGCACAATTTCAAGTGTAGTGGACACAACCACTAGGAAAAGATAGTTATGGGGCAAAAAAATACGTAGATGAACCAGTAAAAATGGGGGGGGGGGGGGGGGGAGAGAGAGAGAGAGAATGAGAGAGGGAGCGGGGTAAGGAAATCTAGAGAAAATGAAAAGACAGGATGGAGAGGAGAACAAAGAAGAGATGGGACAGGATAAAGGGCAAGGAAAGAAAGAGAGGAAGAATGGAGAGAGAAAGGAGAATAGTAGAAGATCAAAGGAAAGAGAAGGGGTGAGAGAAGAAAAGGTAAGACACGGTTGTGGGGGGGGGGGGTGTTAAGAACAATGATTGCCAAAAATAGAATTAGGAAATCTCTAAGTGAGGCCACTTTTTTTTCCGGTTCCTTCCCTCTCCCAATGTGAATGTGGCCGCGTGGTCCAAAAACAACAGTGCTAACCCCTACTGCCCCTTGCTTGTCCTATCTGTGTGTGACACAATAATTCAATTTCTTACACGTAAGGCTGGTGACCTGAGAGCCAAGATCATTTTATGAAGGAAAAAAAAGTCCAGGGGATCCCAACCCATCCACTGGTGGAAAAATAGAGAAGTTTACCCCACACACATAAATAGGTCAGACACACTAAATAGGTCAGGGCAGGAATGGACTTTCGTTTTATTTCTGGTTTGGTTTTCCATTATACAGAAATGGAGGGAGAGAGGGGTGGTGGAAGGAGTGGTGTAGAAGGCTGAGGTGGTAAGGGTGAGAC